TTCGCTTATAATGTAATGAACCATAAAGGCTCTCTGATTAGGTAGAGGAAATGTTCTTAATGAGAAGAATAGAAGGAAATGACTTACATGTTCAAACACCCATGCTTGTGAAAACACTATCCAGGATTATAAATGCAGCATGCACAAATTGTTTCCATGTCAGACGTATATAGATCAACATTTACATGATCACTTCCTCATTTCCTGATGGATGGTTTCATAATAGGTCATTCATTGTTTGACCGCTCATGGTGAGATGAGACAAACTGAGTACCTGTCCCCTCAGCTGTCATTTACAGTTGCAAGAAAAAGTATGTGAACCTCTTGGGATTACGTTGAGTTTTGCATGAATTGAGCATAAAATGTGCTCTGAACGTCATCTAAGTCACAACAATAGAAGAACACAGTCTGCTGAACATAATACTACACAAACATTAGATGTTGCCATGGTTTAATTGCACATAACATGTAAACATTCACAGTGCAGGGAGGAAAAAGTATGTGAGGGCCCTAGCTTAATGACTTCTCCCAGAGCTAATTGGAGCCAGGAGTGAGCCAACCTTGACTCCAATCAGTGTGATGATATTGGATGTGTTGCTGACAGCTGTCCTGCCCTTAAAAAACACACACCTGTTTTGGGTTTACTGGTTTCAAGAAGCACTGTCTGATGTGAACCATGCCTCGCAGAAAAGAGCTCTCAGAAGACCTACGATAAGAAATGTTGACTTGCATGAAGCTGGAAAGGGTTACAAAAGTATCTCCAAAAGCCTTGATGTACATGTGTCCACGGTAAGACAGACTGTCTACAAATGGAGAAAAGTTTAGCACTGTTGCTACTCTCCCTAGGCTTGGTCGTCCTGTAAAAATGACTGCAAGAGCACAGCGCAGAATGCTGCATGAGGTAAAGAAGAATCCCAGAGTGTCAGCTAAAGACCTACAGAAATCTCTGGCACATGCTAACATTTTTGTTGACACATCTACAATAAGGAAAACATTAAACAAGAATGGAGTACATGGGAGGACACGACGGAGGAAGCCATTGCTGTCCAAAAAGAATATTGCAGCACGTTTGAAGTTTGCAAAAGAGCACCTGGATGTTCCACAGCACTACTGGCAAAATATACTGTGGACAGATGAAACCAAGATTGAGTTGTTTGGGAAGAACACACAACACTGTGTGTGGAGAAAAAAAGGCACAGCACACCAACATCAAATCCTCATCCCCACTGTAAAACATGGCGGAGGGAGCATCATGGTTTGGGGCTGCTTTGCTGCCTCAGGGCCTGGACGGATTGTTGTCATTGATGGGAAAATGAATTCCAGAGTTTATCAAGACATTTTGCAGGAAAACATACGACCATCTGTCCGCCAACTGAAGCTCCGCAGAGGATGGGTGATGCAACAGGACAATGACCCAAAGCATACAAGCAATTCAACAAAACAATGGCTGCAACAGCACAGAATACGCCTTCTGGAGTGGCCCAGTCAGAGTCCTGACCTCAACCCTATTGAATGCTGTGGCATGACCTTAAGAGAGCGATTCACACCAGACATCCCAAGAATATTGCTACACTGAAACAGTTTTTGTGAAGAGGAGTGGTCCAAAATTACTCCAGATCGTTGTGCAGGTCCGATCTGCAACTACAGGAAACGTTTGGTTGAGGTTATTGCTGCCAAAGGAGGGTCAACCAGTTATTAAGTCCAAAGGTTCACATACTTTTTCCTCCCTGCACTGTGAATGTTTACACGTTATGTGCAATTAAACCATGGCAACACCTAATGTTTGTGTAGTATTATGTTCAGCAGACTGTGTTCTTCTATTGTTGTGACTTAGATGACGTTCAGAGCACATTTTATGCCCAATTCATGCAAAACTCCACGTAATCCCAAGGAGTTCACATACTTTTTCTTGCAACTGTAAAAAAAAAATGAACAATTGCAGCTTACCTTTTTTAGATGCTCTATTCTGGACCCCCAGCAAGGAAAAATCCTACAGGGTGCTCTTTTTGTTGGGCAGCTGTGTTTGCCATAATTACCCTGCCTGTACTGTGCAGGCAAATCTTCATCATCAGATAACTAGATTGAACATTGTCTGTCCTAACAAAGGGTTAAAGTTGTAGGGGCTGGGCTTCTTGCAATGTTTGTTAACCATTTAAGGACCGCCCTATATCAGATATACTACTACAGGGCAGCCATGCTGTGCATAATCACATATAAATACGTGATTTTGCCTTTCCGGGTAGGGGGCGCACGCATGAGCGCTGCCCTACCCACACTGTCATTGGCTCCTGGAGTTGCCAATCACTGGGTCCCAGCCAGCGATTCATGGCCAGGAGAAGCTGACAGGGGAGAGATCTGAGTGCCCAAGTTTCCAAATGGTCCGTCCGCCCCTGTCCCCTAGTAAAACAGCACACAGTAATCACAAAACAGCACACTGTTAACCCTTTGATTGCCCTACCTGTTAACCCCTTCCTATCCAGTACAGTGTCAGTGCTTTTTATTAGCACTGATCACTGTATGCGTATCACTGGAGATGAAAGTGGCCGTTAGTCAGTTCCCATCCAGTGTCAGTTAGTGTCAGAATGCCCGCCGCAGTCCCGCTATAAGTCGCTGATTTCCACCATTACTAGTATTAAAAAAATAAAGAAATAAAAATTCCAGTATGTAAACTGCCATTTGTAGACGGTATAACTTTTACGTAAACCAATTAATATACACTTATTGGAATTTTATTTTACCAAAGATGTAGCGGAATACATTTTGGCCTAAATTTATGAAAAAATATAATTTTAAAAATGTTTTTGTTGGTAATGTTTTATAGCAAATAGTACAAAATATTGATTGTTTTCTTTTTCAAAATTGTCAGTCTTTTTTTTTTATAACGCAAAAAAATAAAAAAACGCAGAGGTAATCAATAACTACCCAAAAAATTCTATACATTTCATTTATATACAGCATTGCATGACCTTACAATTGTCAGTTAACCACTTGAGCTCCAGAGGATTTACCCCCCTTAATGACCAGGCCTCTTTTTGCTACTCGGCGCTGCACCAATTCAACTGATAATTGCGCGGTCATGCAATGCTGCACCCAAACTAAATGTACGTCCTTTTTTTCACACAAATAGAGCTTTATTTCGGTGTAATTTGATCACCTGTGTGCTTTTTATTTTTCACGCTATAAACAAAAAAAAGGCCAAAACGTTTGAAGAAAAACAATATTTTTTACTTTCAGCTATAAAAAATATATAGTAAACTCAAAGTTGGTTATAAACTTAGGCCAAAATGTATTCTGCTACATGTTTTTGGTAAAAAAAATCCCAATAAGTGTATATTGATTGCTTTGTGTGGAAGTTATAGCGTCTAAAAACTATGGTATAGATACTGCAATTTACGCCATTTTTCTGTTATACAGCGCTGCGCTAGTTTAACGGACAATTGCGCAGTCATGCAATACGGTACATAAATAAAATTTACATCCTTTTTTTTCCCACAAATTGAGCTTTCTTTCGGTGGTATTTGATCGCCTGTGCGGTTTTTATTTTTTGCGCTATAAAAAAAAGGCTGACAATTTTGAGGAAAAAAAAACAATATTTTGGACTTTTTGCTATAAAACATGTCCAGTAAAAAAAAATGCAAAAATCAAATTTAGTCATAAATTTCTGCCAAAATGCATTCTGCGACATGTCTTTGCTAAAAAAAAACCCAATACGTGTAAATTAATTGGTTTACGTGAAAGTTATAACGTTTACAAATGGCGGGAAAGATACAGGGATTTTTAGGGGTTTTTTTACTAATAATGGCGGCGATCAGCGAATTATGGCGGCGATCAGGGACTTATGGCAGCGACTTATGGCGGGACTGCGGTGGACATTCTGACATTGTGGGGTACTGACTTGGGTTCACTGACATCCCCAAAAACACTAATACAGTGATCAGTGCAAAAAAAAAAAAACACTGACACTGTACTAATGGCACTGGGGAGGAAGGGGTTACCTTTATTTTGCAGGGAAGGGTTATAGGAGTGAGGGGAGAGTTTTACTAGGGGGCGGGGGTGTGTACTGGGCGGGACAAGGCTGATCGAGAAAGAGAAACTGTTCTTTCTCGATCAGCTCATCCTCGAGCTGACAGGGAAGTGACAGACAGCACAGCTACTGCAGCTGTGCTGTCTGTCACTGTTTGCCGCCGATCGCCGGGAGATAGCCGCTAAGGAGCGGCTGTGACCTGGCGACTCACATCTGCGGTGGTGATCGGCGGGACAGATAGGGCGGTGGTGCGCCTTGCGCGTGCCCCCTAGCTGTTTACAAAACACACGTTTTAAACCGTGGTTTTGCCTGCGAGTGCCACCCTGCCGCCGTATATCTACAGTGGCTGGGCGACAATCAGTTAAAGTAACGCAGCGCTGTATGTAAACAAATTGCCTTATCATGAAGGGGGGGGTAAATCTTCCGGAGGGCAAGTGGTTCATGAAGACAGACTTGGGACAGACTCAACTGTCCTAACCTTGCCGTCAGCTATGACACCTCCTCCTTAAAAACATTTAATAGGTAGAAATATTACATAGAACATTTTTTATGCATGCTGTATAAAAGGGGACCAGGGGCGGACTGACAATTTGGAAACTTGGGCACTGCCCGAGGGCCCGGGGTCAGTAGGGGGCCCCATTAGATGCCCCTGGTACCTTTTTCATAGGCTTTTTTGAGTTTGGGCAAGGACACAGGGGCCCCATGATCCCCTATTGCCCGGGGCCCCATGAGTTGTCAGTCCGCCTCTGATGGGGACATATAATAAACATATAGTGGGGTTTTCTCAAATTTGACAACAGCAGTGGAAATATGCATTAAATGCATCTCAAACACAAGGCATTTTATTCTTAAAAGGATTTTAGAATGTAAAGGATGTGACTCCCCCCTTCCCGATTCTGACACCCAGGTGTTCTAACCCCGATTCTGACTCCAAATGTCTGATCACATATAGGGTCACCCCACCCAGGATACTGACTGATAGGCAAGGAGAGCTTCAGCAAACGTCATTTTGTCTTCCTGAGATTTTTTACTTCCTTTCTTTTTCTTTGTTCCTTTTTTTCCTTTCTTCTCGCTCTTCCCCATGTCTGTGGTTGCCTGGAATGAGAAGGATGACAAAAATGTAAAAATATATATGTGCCGTATTCTCAAATATGGATTGTAAAAGCTCAGATTGAACTGTGTAAAGAATTCCATGTATGGATATTTTTACATAGTCACATTGGTCCAGCTTGGCATTACTACTATGCAACTATGCATGTATCCTAGCTGTGGGATTTCTCTAGAACGGTGGTCTCCCAGCTTTTCAGTGTAAGGGCCTCATTGCATATTTTACAAATTAAAATCAACCCATCCCCCTCAGAAAAAAACTGTTTTCTAAATTAAACAATAAAATTTATATAAATATGTTTTACTTGGAACTTTTTTGTAATCAATGATATGATTTGGTACAACGGAGAAATAACTATTTATTACAAGTACTTATATAGTACTGTCAATTTATGCAGCGCTTTACATATATATTGTACATTCACATCAGTCCCTAACCCTCAAGGGGCGTAAAATCTAAGGTCCCTAATTTACATTCATACATACACATATTAGGGCCAATTTACCTACCAACCAGGGGCGGACTGACAACTCATGGGGCCCCCGGGCAATAGGGGATCATGGGGCCCCTGTGTCCTTGCCCAAACTCAAAAAAGCCTATGAAAGGTTCCAGGGGCATTTCATGGGGCCCCCTACTGACCCTGGGCCCTCGGGCAGTGCCTGAATTTCCAAATGGTCAGTCCACCCCTGGTACCAACTTTGGAGTGTGGGAGGAAATCCACGCAGGCACAGGGAGAACAGGAAAACTCCAGGAAAGTAGTGTCGTGGTTGGGACCCTAGTGCTGCCAGGCGGAAGTGCTAACCACTTGGCTACTGTGCTGCCCCAACTTCAGTGAAGCAAAGAAATTCCACATAAACATGAACCATTATTAATGGTCAAACAAAAATAAATTCAACCTGCATCTTTCTCATTGACTTCCCTTCTTACATCAGGGTCCCAACAAAGTCCCCCCTTACATCAGTGTCCCCATCAGAATCCCCCCTTACATTAGTGTCCCCATCAGAGTCCCCATTAGAGCCCCCCTTACACCAGAGTCCCCATCAGAGTCCTCCCTTACATTAGTATCCCCATCAGAATCTCTGTTTATATCAAAGTCCCTCTTACCTCAGTGTCACCATCAGAGTCCCTCTATGATTAGCGCCCTCATCAGAGTGTTCCCTTACATCAGAGTCTGCCTCTTACCCCTGTAAAAATGCAGGGCAGAGGAAGTTCCATCCTCCTGTGAATGCTGGGGCAAGCATGTCATTGCTTGCTAGGATTCAGATGGGGACCTGTGCTCTTACCCTCCTGAAGACTGCACCAGGAGACGGGGGAAGCAGAGACCAGGGGCGGACTGACAACTCATGGGGCCCCCAGGCAATAGGGGATCGTGGGGCCCCTGTATCCTTGCCCAAACTCAAAAAAAACTACGAAAAAGGTACCAGGAGCATCTCATGGGGCCCCCTGCTAACAAAGTTAGTGTGTACGTAGCCTTACACTCTCCAGAAGATATGTGTATAGGTGATCATGTGATCTGTATGCAAGTGCTAGGGACATGAATAGGAAAAAAAAGATCCGCACGACCGCCACTGCGCTAAAATCTTCCTCTGTATTGAAACGACCACAAAAAATGACATAAAAAATACAAGAGGTTGAAAAAAGCCTTAGTCATAACCCATAATGTAGCCAGTGCTAGGGACCCAGCTGACACCAGGGGCCCTTGTGTTCGGATTACCTCTCCTTCCTTTATCTATGCGCCTCTGGATCTTGTTGGTTGTCATCTGTTGGGGCTGAGGTGTGGATAGATATGGGGGACAAGAGTTGCCAACTGTCCATGTTTTTATGGACAGCCAGTAAAAACCTGGCACTTTTCCGCTGCCGTAAATGGCCATAACAGGAGAAAAGTGCCAGTGAAAAAAGACTTTGAAGGCTCGGGTTGGAACTTCGCATGCGCAGTTCTGGAGCCACCAGAGACCATGATCCGAGTGTGTGTGGCCAGCGAGGGGGGGGGGGGGGGGGGGGGGGGGGGGGGGGGGGGGGGGGGGGGGGGCAGGCGTGTCTGGAAATGTCTATGGTCGCAAGGCGAGAGTAATGACACCATGGCGCATTTCACGCCACACTGCACCAGCCGCTATAAAAACCCAGGAGCCGAGCGGATGGCACTGGACTTGTGTGACTGACAGACAGAAATGACTGAGGCGGACCATCACGGAACTGGTGTTAACCTGGGTAGTGGGCAGGGGCGAACTGACAACTCAAGGGGCCCCCGGGCAATAGGGGATCATGGGGCCCCTGTGTCCTTGTCCAAACTCAAAAAAGCCTACGAAAAAGGTACCAGGGGCATCTCATGGGGCCCCCTACTGACCCCGGGCCCTCGGGCAGTGCCAGAGTTTCCAAATGGTCAGTCCGCCCCTGGCAGAGACTGAACATCAGCTGTTGAGGGAGGAGGGAAGAAGCAGAGACTGTGTACTAGCTCCGAGACAGATAAAATCTTGCAGCAGGCCGCATGTGGCCCACGGGCCACAGTTTGGAGCAGGGGCGGACTGACTATTTAGAAACTCGGGCACTGCCCGAGGGCCCGTGGTCAGTAGGGGGCCCAATGAGATGCCCCTGTTACCTTTTTCATAGGCTTTTTTGAGTTCGGGCAAGGACACAGGGGCCCCATGATCCCCTTTTGCCCGGGGGCCCCATGAGTTGTCAGTCCGCCCCTGGTTTGGAGACCCCTGCTCTGCAAGCTGGAAATCAATGTAGTAGACACCGCTACTCCTGTGATCTTCACTAGCTCATGCTAAGCTAGTCCTGCTGAAATGGGAACATTTTCAGCTTCACAAGGGAGCAGGCAGGTATGGATTATTTGTTCATTTTTTTTAGTGTCACATTAAAAAAAGTGCAAATTTTAAAGAACAAAATGTGTTTTGTTTGTAAATAGAACCATCATTTTAATGTCATTTTAAATGGGATAAATAATAGATTATTATTATTTTATAGACTTTTTATATCTATAGTAACAATATATTTTTTAAACTCCCACTGATCAAAATATAATTTTTTTTTTTTAGTTTTGTTACATTCATGTTAAGATTGCATAAAAAATAAAAATCATTTTTGCAAGACAATATCAGGAAAAGAAAGCCTTGTTCGTCCTTTAAAAAATGATAATAATTTTACTTTGCTATCTTCAGTAATATCACCATTTTTAAACATGAAAATTGCTCTGGTCCATAGGGGGGTATACAGGTGTGAGAGCAGAGCTGGTGAAATGTGCCAATACCTTCAGTATGTTCCTGATCTGTATTTTAGGAAAAATACCATTCCAGAACAGGTGGATACTTTATTTCAGTTTTATTTGAGACAGGTTCTTGCTAAAAAAAAAAATAAAAAAAAATAAAAAAAATTGGCTAGCAGCCCAAGAGGGAAAAGTGTCGTCATTGGGGGCCATTATGGGATGAATCATCTCCTTTATGAATTGGGATAAACTCTCGTCCTGTTACTGGTGAACAGCTGAGAAGACAGGAAGGGACGTGGTCCATCCCCAGCCAGGACCGCCAACAAAAATTCATTATACTTTCGTCCTGAAAGGCTCGCCTGTGAGCTGACTTCTGAGCTGCCGCTGGATTACTATGCTACACGGGAAATGCTGCTTTAAAGGGGCTTTTCATTGGGTTCCCTCTGGAATGTTAATTAGATATAGAAAAGTGTGATCATCATGGGTCCAACACGGTCATCTAATGGGGAACCTGACAGGCAGGAGGTAAGAGGAAAGTCGGGTGATGTATGACTAAAGAGAGGGTACGTACATCCAAACTGAGCCACGGCACAAGAGTAAAAAAATCCTGATTGTTGGACCATTCCATTTATCCAAAGCTGACACCTGAATCTGCTTTTTATGGACATTTTTGACATTAAAGTAAATGCAAACCCTAACTGGATGACATTAAGCTTGCTAAAGCCCTTTTGTGACAGGAGTCACTTTGGGTGGGGGGCCCATGGAACACAGCTTACTTTGGAGAGATGGGGAGACCCCTGTCTCAGCTCCCCATATCCCTCTTATGTGTAAATCACCCTGTGCCTGTTAGGGGTACAGGGTGATCTGTCCTAATATTGGGGTGGGGGCTTGTTGATTGTTTAATGTTATGGGGCTGCATCCCATTGTTCTATTGTCTGTGTGGCTTGGGAGCAAACTATTATGGGATGTATGTGTTTATAGGTATTAGCTTGGGGGGGGGGTGTCTCCAGCAGCCCTCCCTCCTGATGGGACTGTCTGCTGGTGTGAAGTTGGAATACCTGTGTGCCTCTTGTTACTAAATGTAGATTGCCCCCCCACCCACCCTGTGTCATTATGAAGGGAGGGGGGACTGTCCCTTGAGTGTATATATCTTATATCTGTGTTTAAATAAACTAGTCTACCTCCTGGTTTACTTCAGTACTGGTGTCGTCTAGTCTTGTATGGGCGGCTGTGGTGTCTGTTGTCGGTGTTCGGACTGGGAAGCGGTATTCCGGTATAACGGAAGTACTCAAGCGCAGTCTGGGTCGGTTCCGTTACACCTTTGTATAACAAACAATTGCCATGTTTTTAAACATAAACTGTATGTACCCAAAGAACCCCCAGTGGGACTTTAATGGTGCAATAGGATCATAAATATATTGAAAAAGACATTTGGTTAAAAAAGATTTTATCAACTATACTACATACACATTTCTATTGTAATGTTAAATACATGATTTGTAAAAAGAATATTGCCCTGACAGTATCATTACAAGAAAACTCTTAATACAGAAATATGAAACCACACAGAAAAGGAAAAAAAAAATAAACTACCGTATTTTCCGGCGTATAAGACGACTTTTTACCCCTTGAAAATCTTCTCAAAAGTCGGGGGTCGTCTTATACGCCGGTAACGGCATGCTGACACTTTTTAGGGGGGCGGTGCCACCGCCGCCCCCCCCCTTCCAACAGAAGGGAAACTAAGTACAGGGGTGGGCAGGGGCTGCTGTC